ATATATATATATACATACATACATACATACATACATACATATATGTATGTATTGTTAAGTGCCATCGAGTCATTTCTGACTCTTAGTGACCCTGTATAGGATTTCCAAGGAGCAGCTGGTGGGTTTAAACCACCTACCCTTCAGTTGTCAGTCCAGTGCTTATCTTACAGTACCACACCAGGACTCCATATATATAACAACAATTGTGAGGATGGCATAGGACTGGGGCAGTGTTACCATACATGTTTTTAAGTGCCGTTAAGTCAGTTCCAACTCATAGCCAACCTGTATAGGGTTTCCAAGGAGTAGCTAGTGGGTTGAACTGCCGACCTTGTATTTCACAGTCCAGTGCTGATCCTATAGCGCCATACCTGGAGTCCATATGTGTATACATACATGCATGCATGCTTGCATATACACATAAAAACATGTATATTCTATTATATGAAAACCTTTTTGACTGAAATTTCATGGTAGTTTCTGAAATGACTTATTTTTGTATTTAGGATCCTCCCTTCTTAAGCCCCTAGTCCTTTAAACTTTTTAATTCATCTATTTGCAGCAGACCTCTGCTATAGTTAAGTTATACTAAAGGGCTTCAGAAAGTTCATGGAAAGATAGAATAAAAGATAATGGAATTTTTGTATGAATTTTTGATACAAATGTTTTCTGTTTCTAATAGCTTAGTCTTTTTTTTTTTTTCCCCTTCCATGTCTTTAACCATGGAACTTCAACTCCTTTAAAACGTAGCTTTTTAAAAAATCACTTTATACATTTCTCTTTTCAATATTATTAACTAATTATGTTTCCACTTTCTATTATTAGTGCTCAAAGCTTTACTTTGTATTTATAAATCATGTTTTTGATTATTAAGTTATTTAATGTTGTATATCAAGGGCCTTGATACAGTTTTTTTTTTTAATGTGTCCCTCTACCCTTAAGGCTGGAGTCCTGGTGTGGTGCTGTGGACTAATGCATCAGACTGCAAAGTTGTTTGAACTGCAAGGTCTGTGGTTCAAGCTCACGAGCTGCTCCTTGGAAACTCTATATAGGGTCACTATGGGTCGGAATCAACTCAATGGCACTTAACAACCCTTAAGGGCAGTGGTTCAGTAGTAGAATTCTTGCCTAACAGAATGTAAGAGAACCAAGTTTGATTCCTAGCCAATGCATTTTATGGCAGCCACTACCTGTTGTCTTTCAGTGGAGGATTGCATGTTGCTATGATGCTGAAAAGATTTCAAGTTTCCAGACTCAGGCAGAAAGCCCTAGTGATCTATTTCTGAGTATCAGCCAATGAAAATCCTATGGATCACAGTAATCCAGTCTATAACCAGTTATGAGGATGGCGCAGGACTGGACAATATTTCTGTTGTGCATGGAATCACCATGAGTCAGGGGCCAACTTGATGGCAAATAACAGCAGTACTAATTAGTAGAAAAATAAGAGAACTTGATATATTGACACTGATCCCTAATATGTATTGACTCTTGGATTCTCTTATTTTACAGACATGTTGGCCGTCATTGCCTCCGTGCCCAGCTTAGTCCTCAGCTCTGTATCAAAAAGTAAGTTTCCAAATCTGTGGAGATTATTATTACTTAACTTTTTTCCCCCTAAGAGAAAACCAATAGCCTGTTGGTTTAGATTTAGAGAAATATATACAGAAGAGTCCTGGTGTGGTGCTGTGGGTTAATGAGCCAGACTGCAAAGCTGTTTGAACTGCAAGGTCGGCAGTTCAAGTTCACCAGCTGCTCCTCGGAAACCCTATACAGGGTTGCTATGGGTCGGAACAGACTTGACGGCACTTCACAACAATAACAACAATACGGGAGTAGGACTGAAAATTTACTGATTATAGTCACTTTTTCTTGCTGGCGAGTAGAAGAAGGAAGGCTGTTTCTGTGGTCTTTAGTTAATTTTTCTTACTTTCAGCTTTACTATTTTATTTCATTGATTTGCTGTAACATTTTTATTCCTTCCTTGGTATAAATTATCTTTTTTCTTTTCTGTTTTGTATTTCTTCCTTTAATTTTTTTTTTTTCTCTTATAGCCTATTGTTTTGTGCAGCTTTCAGGACTTAGTTTTTAAATTAATTTCTTCCTGCTAAACACATTCCTAGTCTGTTAGCTTCAATAGTTATCTCTATGCCAGTAATCCTTCTTTTACCTAATTTATAATTTTGAAAGTATTTTATACTTTTGGAAAAGATGGAAGAAAGATACAGTTAGTTCTTTATACTTTTAACCTTGATTCATCAGTTGTTTTGTGATATTTGCTTCCTACTGTATATTTTAGATTGAAACATGAAATTGTTATTTCTGAAGGTCAAAACTGGTAGAATACTTACTGACAATTTAGTCTTAGTCAGTCTAATATATATTCAAGTATTGTTGGTGTTTTGTAATCTTATTGAGAGCATAAGTTATGGTCATTATCTCTTTATCTTTATCTCTCAGTACTTCTGAAAACAAGGACGCTGTGGTTCAGGCTCACCAGGGTTAAATTTGCTGATTTATGGTGCTTTGTAAGCCTTCACTCAATTCACAATAAAAAGAAAAGTATTTGTTTTCTTTTTAAGTAAAAAAGAAACATGACAACTTGCATGGTGGTGGACAGTATAATTAACAAATTTAACATTTATGTACTATTATGTGATACATAGTCTATTTTCAGATTTTTCATTTGTCCCAAGTGATGTTCCATGTTCTTCTTGGATTTTCATTCTCTTGGTGTGTTGTGACGTGTTAAGTTTCTTTGAGGTTGCCATATAGTCCATTAACTTTTCTCTCCATTTACTGCAGTCT